GGGGGGGGGGAGAGACAGACAGATAGACAGACAGACAGACAGAGAGAGAGACAAATGGACAGGGGGAAAGAGAAGGAGACGACATACAAACTGACCAAGCACATAGGAAAAACGAGAGAAGGAAACCTCTTTTTAGGAAAGTACAAAGATAATTAAACTCATCCGAGCAGAAATAAGCCCGCAGATTCTCGAGAAAGAGTGTCAGAAAAAGAAATATGAAACATCTAACAAAGCTTTGGCGTAAGACATAAATGTCCCGCATAAAAATGGATGCATGCAGTTTTTGAGCACAGAGGATCAGACACAGACGGGGGGTCGGCAGCCTTTGTGTGGCTGGCCGGCACAGAGCCGAGTCTCACCTTGCACGTAGAGGTCAGCCTTGGTGGTGGCGGTGCCCAGTTCGTTGACAGCTCGGCACTCGTACTCTCCCTCGTCCTCTGGGAACGCCTCGGGCAGCACCAGCGTGCACCGGCCCTCATCAGCCGGCTCGATACGGTAGACCGGCGAGTCTCGGATCACCTCGCCGTCCAGGAGCCACTCTAGCTGTGGCGCGGGCTCGCCTCGCACGACCACCTCGAAACGCACCGGCTGACCCTCCATGGCTTCCACATTGGAGAGTTCTAGAGTGAAGCTGGGTCTCTCGCCTGTCGGGGAAACTTCTTCTTCTTCTGTTTCCGGAACTTGCTCGGCAATCTCCGGTGCTTCCTCGGCGACTTCTTCGAACGTCTGAACAATCTCGAAGTCTTCCGCGGTGATGGTGGTGGTCGTGGTGGTGTCTTCTGGTTCTGTGACTGGAAGGGTGATGTCTTCCTCTACTGCCTCCTCGATCTGACTGATCAGGCTCTCAAAGGCGTCGATACTGGTGGTGGTGGTGGTGGTGGTGGTAGTTTCAGTAGTTTCAGGCGCAGGAGCCACGAGTTCGATCTCGGCCGACACATCCTCCTCTTGGGGAAGCTCGGCCGACACGATCTCGATCTGCTCGTGCGCGGTGATTTCCGGTTGGGCGGGAACTTCCTCCGTCTCGCTGCTGACGCTGAAGGTCGTCTCGGAGACGGTGGTCGTGGACACGACTTCCGGGGTCGTGGTCAGTAGGTCGACCTTGACCTCCGGGGTCTCCAAGACGACCAGGCTCTCCACTGGCTCCTCGTGTTGGGGGATCTCCTCTTCCTTCTCCTCCTCTTTCTTCTCCTCTTCTTCCTCCACCCTGGGCTCCTCCGCGGGCAGTGTGACGTCATCGCGGGGTTCCTCGGGGTGTTCGGGCTCTGATGGGGGGAGGGGGAGGCGGAGATGTGGAGGGTGGTGGGAGGGAGAGAGAGGGGGAGAGAGAGGGGAGAGAGAGGGGAGAGAGGGGAAGGGAGAGAAAGGGGGGTGGAGAGAAAGATACAGGGATAGAAAGAGAGAGAGGGAAAGACAGAAAGAGAGAGAAAAGATGGTGTGGGGTAGCAGGGGAGGAATGATAGATGGAAGGAGGAAGGAAAGAAGAGAAGCAAAAAAGGCCAATAAGCAAACCAGTGGTTAAGAAATAAGCCAATTCCAACACTATGAGTTATAGATAGGCTCACTCGGTAGATATCTAAAATTCCACACTATGAGAGATCACACTATAGAAAAACTCACTCGGTGGATATCGAAACTTTCACCAGAGAAAAGTTATTGAATAATGATACAAAAAAAGAAAATCAAACAAAAAAACAAGAGAAAAGACAACCCTGAAATCACCACCAGACAAACGTTGTAACAAGTCCCATGTGTTATAGAAAGCTAGAAATAACAAAAAGGCTTTATAAACATTAATTATGAACTAAGGTCATAAAAAATCTAGGGTTTTCCTTTTCCAAAAATGAAGTAGTAGCTACGTATTTTAGTCAAATTCATTCGCTACAGACTTAAAACTCTTGTTGTGAAAGCAAGACTTGTAATCTAAACTGCGCTAAATCTGAAGAAAAACGCTCTAAAAATAGGAAAAAACAAGGGGATCAACATCATTTACAATAATGTAACCACAATGATGTTACAACAATAATAATCACAGTCTAGCAATGAATGACAACGCATTTCGCCAGCCAGCTGCTCACACGTACTAAGCCTGATTAACCTTATCCGGAGTAAATTTCCTCTTTGAAAAGTGGTGGCACAGAGTTCCCCACGTCGTAGGGATACGATAGTAAAAACACGACGTACGGATAGGGCTAAAAAAAAAAAAGCAACAAGTTACAACTGCAGTTACCTAATCGGTGGCGTCAGTTGCCTGCTTTAAAGAAACATTACAATTTTTATCAAAGTTCAGTTGGTCGCTTTTAAGGACAAGGGGGGCTAACCCAGATTTCGGGGGTTTCCAGAAATCTTGGCCTACACCAAAAGTGGGCGTTGCCCTACCTATAGGAGAAGTTTGGTTTCATTAGTGTATATATTCGTTTGGTTATAGAGAAAATTCTCCTTGTCTTTAAAAGAAACTGAACAAGGCTTAAAAAACTTTACCTTCGATTTTCTCAAAACAGCACTTCTCCGGATAGTGGCCTTGGGCTTAAAAGCGACCAATTATTTCTGAAGATATGTATTGAAACAGTTGTTTTTTTAATGCTTGTTCTTGAGAAAATTAACTTTCGGGGCTTAGTAGATGTGAACATCGTGCCGGCAATGTCTACGGGGCGCGGAATGTGTTTCTCTGAGTATGACACACAACACAGACACACAACATAGACACACAACACAGACACACATCCAGTAACACGGACACACACCCAGTAACACGGACAGCGTCCTCACAAACAATCTCGTGAACACA